ATGGGCCAGATTGAGAGAGATAGTACAAGGGTGAGACTTGATGTTGAAGTCTAGATACACTGATGACAGACTGTGAAGATTGCACTTCAGAAGTGTCTGTTGATTATGTGCTTGATATTATTGCTGAGGTATCTTTTTGTATTTTTCTGCTGGGGATGGGCCAGATTGGGAAGGGCGGTACGAGGGTGGGACTTGGCATTGGTGTTTTGGAACATCAAAGATGGACAGGGTTTTCGCGGAGATTGCTCCTCAGATATCTCCACAACTACAGATCAGGGATCTTCCAAAATCAAGAAGATTGGTGCATATGGCTAGGTCTCTTCACCTTACAATTTGTATGGCAATTTGGCCCGGGGTTGTGGTGTGGTAGGGGAGAATGGGGGATAATCCCACGCAGGAGTTCCGAACAACGTCTGGTTCACATTTGGCTGGATAACTCCACCACCACACGGGGTATGCGGTCGGCGATGGGGTCAAAATGCTCGTATGATCGAGGGCTTTTCGATGGATCTATCGGCGGGTTCTTATTCGAAAAATCGAGCGAGTTCGTGGTGGAGCGGTTGTGTCTTTTTAATATTAGTCAGACTGATGAAATAGATTGATATATAATTCTACTATCAGTGAATTTGTTAGTGACTCTATCAGTGATTTTGATAATAACTTCTTTTTCAGAGTATTTTATACACATTGACAGAGATCTGTGTTAGATTCATAATCTTGTGAATATCATCTTCATGAACTCTATCATTATTAGAGAATATCAAGCTTCTGTTTTAAGTATTCAATAAGATGCCTTGTTCAGATAGTCAGACAAGTTCTAATATAAGATTATAATCAAGATTATTAACTTCATATACATAGGCATCTTTATGTTGATGTTCTCTCACATCTATAATCAGCTTTATTATGTAACAGATACAAATATCTTTCAGATTATCAAATTCTGCAAGAAGTCAGAGTTTAGATAAAGAGATACACTGAAGATTATAATATCTTACAACTGAAGATTTTATCATTGCATAGTAACATAGACTGCTGTCTATTATAGTCTTTGTATTATACATGTTATTAATCACAGTAGATACAAGAATCACATTCATTATCATTTTCTCTTTAAATTATTATTATTCAATCTCTTTAAGCTTTTGTTTATAAATTTAAACAGAAGCTAATCTTTTCTCTGTTTCATCAGAGCATTCTTATAGTTATTCTCTGAATCTTTCTCTAATATAATATAATTGATGTGAACAGACACTGATCTTTCTCTCAAGTGTGAAGACATATAGATTAATTAGTAGTTAAAAGTAATATGTTCTGATCAGTTACAGTTAATGCACATTTTATATTAATATCAATCAGTGACTTCTTTGAGAGTGATTTCAGAGACTCAGAAGCCTGTTCAGATAACAGAGACTCTTGCTTATGTATAGATATTTAAGTCTACTCAATTCATAGCATCTGTATTATTATTATTCCTCAGTACAGATGTATGAATCACTGAAGTATAACATCTTCTATCATTGTTCTGTATATTCTTGAGCTTGATAATACAGTTATTCATTATCTGAAGCTGTGTACAGAAGTCTTCATAAGTCTGATCTTTATCTGCACTTATAAGAGTCTGTAAGAGTTCAAAAGTTAATATCTTCTTAAGTATGCTAATCTTCATTTAATTCTTTCAAGATTGATTATCTGCTTCTAGAATCTTAGTGTTGAAGTCAGGAATGAATATTGTAAAAGAAGTATTTCTCTGTCAGATACTCTGTAATCAATTTAATACTTTCTGTTATATGACAGTATCTCAGAACAGAATATCAAGATATTTCATGATATTATCAGATATTTATAACACTGATTCATATGCTTTCATTCATGAATAAAACTTCTGTTTCATGTGATCTTTCAATCATTCATTGATATATCAATCTTGATTGATTAATGAATCAATGATATCTTCATCTATACTCAGTTTTACAAGTATTTTCATTCTTTATGATGAGTAGAGAGTGAGATCAGAAGTATTGAAATATATAGAAGTATCTAAGTATTCTTTCAGCACTTTTGTATTCAGTTCTATAGATATTGAAATCATATGAGTTAATCATTGAATCTCTTCATATTGAAGTTATTAAGTTGCATGCATGTCTGCTATCTGTTACTGTTATAATTTCAACATTGCTCAGAGTCACTGTGATGTTGTATCTATACTTACATTTAAGAGTTTCATATTATCATTAGACATGATTATATTAATTGTCAGATGTATAATATCTGTGAAATCTGAAGAAATATAATCATATTCTCATATATCTGAGTGTCAGAACTCTCAGATCTTTCACTGATATTCTCTTATAAGATCTTTATTACAGAGTCAGAGTAACTGATAAGCAAGCTTCTATCTGAGAACTCAGTGTTCATTTAACTATGTTTTCTCTTTCTTACACATTGTTATACATTCAGATATCTCTCAATAAATAATTATTTCTAATGAGAAGATAATGTGTGAATCAATAAATAATTATTTCTAATGAGAAGCTAATGTGTGAATAATCATTTTCTAATAAGAAGACAATGAACATTTTTATAGTGTAAGAGATCTATGCTGAATAGATCAGTATAATATTATAAATCTTATATAACAAAGATAAAAACATTAGAGAAGAAAAGAAAGAGAAAGTGTGAGAATCAGCAATTGAGATGAATATTTATACATGTATGTGATGATGTACACAGTGAAGCTTCAGAGCAGAAGAATATACACACATTTATAGTAACTGAGAATCAGCAATCAAGAATGACTGAGAATCAGAGCATACATGTTCATAGCGGCTGAGAATCAGCAATTGAGAATAGCTGAGAATCAGAGTGTACATATTCAAGAATGAAGTGATTGAAATCTGTGAAGTGTAATGAAATAGTCTATATAATTGATCAGACGCAGCCCGCCACAATTTCAATTATTAATAATTATGAACTTATAATTAATTAATATAAAAAGAAAAAAACTTTTTCTACTTATTATCTTTCTTCTCTTTCTTATTTCTCTTATTATTCTTTATAATTTACTTCTTATTCTTATTCTTCTTCTTCTTCTTCTTATCTGAGATAATAATCATCTTAAAATCTCTCTTCACTGTCTTTTCAGAGAAGGATTTTCACTGCTCTTCTTCAGTCAGATTAATTTATATCTTAAAATCCTGTATTTTCTGATTTACTGTCTCAGGTTTTATCTCAGTAATAAGTAGATTAATATACTTAGAGAGTAGAGCTATCTTCTTAATATTCTGAATTATAAAGTATATTCAAGATCTGAATAAGATCTTAATTCTCTTCTTCTCTATCAGCTTCTGCTAATCAATTAGAGAATAGAAGTATTATTAAAAATTATTATCTCTTAATAAATAAAAAACTTATTAGTTTTAACTTCTTTATCTCTTACTTTAATACTCTTTCAATCTTCTTCTACTATTACTTATTTATAGTAATACTCTTCTTCTATCTCTCTCTCTTTATCTTAATCTTGAATTATTCTCAGAACTTCTTCTAGTTTTATCACTACTGTATAAGACTCTTCACTATCTTCTTTTTTATTCTCTTATATGTGATGTTATCTGTATTATTTCTATACTTAGTTCAGTCTAAATTCATCAGAAGTGTTACTTAAAATTGTTATTATTCTACTTTCTTACAAAGTCTTTTCAAGATATTATAACATGTTTTACAATCTGTCTCTTCTTATTTAAATATTTTCTTCTTCTCTCTCTTCAATCTGTGACAGCACTCACACACCTTAATAGTTCACAGAACCGCAGAATATTTGAAGAGAAATGATATAATAATTTCAGTGAATATTGTATAGAGATAAAGACAGAAGAGATAGTTAGAAATAATATAATAATAATAATAACTATAAAATAGTAGTTGAGCTGATTATGAATAACTTAGTGAATTTAACAGATATTAAAGTTTAAAATTATTAATTTAAAAATTATTTCATATAGTTTTAAAGTAAATATAAAGTTATAAAATTAATTGAGTTATATAAAAGATATTATTTTTTTCAGAAAATAAAACTATTTCTTCTTAAACTCTCTGAAAAAAATATTATATTATAAGTATATATAAACTTTTGAATTAATTCAGAATTTGGCAGAACTTAGCAGAACTTAGTGTAAGTCTACAGAAGTTTAGTTATCTACATTATTTTAAAATTATTGAGAAGAGAGAGTGAGCATGTTGAGATAAAGTGAGAGGGTTTTCTTTGTCTGAAATTGCGGGCCGACCTCACAGGAAAGCGGGAAACCGGATCCGACCCACGTTGGCGGGTTTTTCCTATCATTGATCAAGAAAGTCGGCCAAGCTCACCGTGGCCGGTCTTTGTTCTTTTTGCGTGCGAACAGCTGCCCTAAAGCCGATGATCACATCAAACGAAGGATCCCCCCCCCCCCCCAAAAAAAAAGTCTGCCAAGTACGAGTTGAGGGATGTCAAGATTATTGAGCACGCGCAGAGAGGGGCTTTGAAAACACAGAATCTTGCTCATTCCTGCCTGCCAATCGGTCGACTAACTACATCTCATATTCCCTCCCATATTATCCTAGCGGTATCGCGAAAACATTTGGTTTGGGTGGTGGGCCTGGCGATGACATAATGCTATCTTTTGGAGCCTCAGGGAAAATATAGCGGGGGCCAATCACAGACAAAGGAGCCCCTCGTTCCCAAGCTTGGGACGAATGGGTAAGTGCCTTCTGGAAAAGTGCGGTGGAACTTTCTCTGCTAGTTAACTTACAGAGTAACTGTAGGCTACTGGGGCAAAAGAGCTCGATCACCACCAGCGCCTGCTGGTAGAAGGGCCGACCAACCGCGGGACCCCCAACACCCCCCCTCGGACCAGCTACCACAGAGTACAGTACTTCCTCTCAGTGGCTCCTCTCAGTGGCTCCTCTTAGTGGCTCCTCTCAGTGAACTCACTCCTAGGGCTCATTCTTTCAAGGGCTCACTCCTAGGGCACACTCCTAGGATGTCTCTTGGCACTGTTAAAATGTCCAGGGTATTTGTTAGGAATTTTTAAGTCCATTCTGGGATCGAACCCATGCATGTTGACCACAGCGGGGCTCACGCTCAACGGTCTCATAACCTGTAGGCTACTGGGGCAAAAGAGCTCGATCACCACCAGCGCCTGCTGGTAGAAGGGCCGACCAACCGCGGGACCCCCAACAGTAACTACTTTAGTAAAGAATGACTTACATAAAACTTACCGATTAAAAATGGAGCCAACCAAGTGGGTGCGGTGCAGTCATATGACCAGCAAGATTTTTGCTTGCCGGGCTGGGATAAAACTCCCCTAGAAAAAGGGAAAAATGAAAAGAATGGAAAGTGAAAATGGCGAAAAAAGTCCTAGCCAAACAGAGGGATGCTGAATCGTAGACCGGGTACAAAGACAAATATGGCGTCCATTTATTAAGGGAGCGAGTGGACCCATAACTACTAAGCGTATGACTCCAATGCTTCCGAAGTTCGTTCACTATTAACTACGCAGTAGATAACTACCGCCGTCCCCCGAACTACTCGTGATATCGGTGAGAAATCGGCAAGGAAGGGACATAAAACGGACCAGGCCCCGGAACTAACACCAGGAGGAGAGGAGGCGACAGGGGGAACCCTCCTAACACCCCACCTCTGCGCAACTGAAGGAAGCTCATTTCCTCTTGCCTGAGTCCCCGTTGTTACCTCTAAGTAACTATCCATGTCATTTATGGTAGTTATATATTCAATGATTTTTCACGATTTTGGTGTGTCTAATTTTAGGCCTCTCAATCCCGTTTTTTATCCCGGGGAAATCTATAATAGATAGGAGGAGGATATCGGCAAGGAAATGGGCAAGTTGGGTGTGTGCACTCCCTCTCCAGTCCCTCGAACAATTGCCTGTAAATTCATCGTAGGCACGTAGAAGCTAGCACAGGGCGCGAGGCCACACAAGGGACGAAAGGTACTGCCCCTTTGAGTTAGCAAGAGGAATGGATCCGTCGTAGTTGAGAGCACTCTGTACTCCGTACAGAGTAGGAGAATAATGAGAGAGAATGTCAGCCTAGAGATGAGCCGAGCAAAAAAACACCCACCAACCATATCTCTCCATGCCGGCGTAATACCAACTGATGGTATGGTATAGTTCATGCAGCGCTGTCATTTAGCTTGTTTGTTTCCACCGCCCACTTTGCCAGTCCAGTCATTAAATTAATTAATAATGGACAGGACAGTCCGGTATTCGGTCTGTAAGCCCATCCTCCGATTCCGATTCTTCTGCAGGTTCTCGTGGCTTGTACGCTGAGAGCAAAGATCGTGTTTTGTGTGGGTGAGTGTGTGCTGTGCGCCCAGGAATGCCCAGTCCCCAGCGCCTGGATTAGGAAGAGCGCTGATCGCCAGCAGCCGAATCCAAACCCAACCACCAACCACCACCACTCCCACTCCCATTCCCTCCCATCCATCATCCATCATTGCCATAACCACGGCACCCAGCGCCCAACTACGCTGCCAGCACCACCACAACGTCCAGCGCTCTCTGTCTATTGCGATTGGTGGTTTTCCCAAGGCATAACTGCGCTGCTCGCTCACCCCATGAGCTCCGGTGCCCGTAGTGTGTGGTGTGTGCCCAGGGTGTTTTGGAATCTCTGTATCTTTTTTCCCTCCCCTTGCGACCTCCATACCCTTTTACTACCTAGTAACTAATCGTTACAACTCCCGCCCCCTTCCAATCATCCATCTACACCTATCTCAAATCCTCCCTTCTTCTGTATTCTTGACAGTTGTCTGCTTACCGCCTCTCCGGCACCCATACTGCACTTTTGCTCGAGGATGCGCAACCTGGTTGGTCGGCAATTGCGGTAACATTGATGAAGGTTAGTTCGATGATAACTTTTTTACGACTTTTCCCCCTTTTCCCGATCTTCCTTCTGGCTTGTTAGGAGAGTCTTCAATATTTGCCTTGTGGTTTGGCTCGGTTTCCTGTTGCTTCTCGCCTGTTACCACCATAACTACAGCCTGAAGTCCCTTAGGTACATCCTACATGCTCCTCGTGGAGACGCTAATGATGAATGGAATGTTGACCATCAGCAGGCTCAGTAACCACATACATTGGAGGTTCCCAGGCCTAGAGAGAAGACTCCTTCGAATTGGTTTGGTGGCCAAGCACTTGACCTCTACCTTCTCCCCACCACAACGAAGACCTGCCGTCAACTCGACCGATGTGCCACGATTCGGTTCGTCCCTCGAAAAATTTCCTCGTCTATCGTGAATAAGGAGCCATTGGGCCCTTTTTTTTTTTTTTTTTTTTTTTTTTTTTTTTTTTTTTTGGTTTGCCCTATTGCCCGTTATGATTTATAATTACCGTGTATTGACGTTTGCGTGACCTGCACACCTGGTAGTAGAGATTCTGTGTGCCTTGACCGATCGTCTGTACACCATTCCCACGGCAGCCCATCATTTCTCCTCCTCCCCCAACCCCGCCCACCGACTCGTGTATGCCTTCTCATCCCCGATAGATCTGTGCGGACCGCCGGTGTGTAGTTGAGGAACACAGGAAATATGGAGTCAGAGCGCCGCAATGGGTTTAAGCGGAACTCTGCCCGCCAGGAGAGCCACAGCCGTCCGGTGGAACGAAGACCCAGTAAAAAATCCACTTCCAAGGACCGTCACGGGATTGTGTATCCTGACAGTTTTCAAGACACTACAACCCGAGCGGAAACCCCCGATTCTCCGCTGGACCAAACGAATCAGTCCCCCGTATCCGATGCAGAGTACATCCCACCAAGCACCACCGTCTCGCCACGCACAACCATTCGCAGCAAACCTTCTGAAGCGAAACGTGAGTTTACACCGTTCTATTCTACCGGCGAAGAAGATGAAGTCCCATCCGAGCAAAGGAGTCGAAGATTACGGTCGCAGACCACGACTCTAGAAGATCAGAGAAGTGAGGTCTCCCCCAATTTCCTCTCAAGAACACGAACTAGATTAGGCTCCCTCAATACTACTTCTCCTGCAAGTACCAAGTCCCCAGAGGATTCGATAGGGTCCATTGGTTATCCTTCAATTATCCAGTCACCCACCCAGCGGCAGCAGAAATTGATTAAGGCACCACCGGGAGGACAATCGTTGGTGTCGAATTCTTCTCGCATTGATGCCGCCCTGGGGTCACCGTTGCTAAACACAGATTCTTCAAAGATCCTCCAATTGATGAAAACAACTTGCGGTCGAATGCACGGGATACTGTATTTCCGTACCTCTGCTACTGCTGCTTGGACTTCGGGCTACTGCGCTATCAATGTCGCTACTGGAAGCTTGATTTATCAGGCCAAGGGTGAACCAGCGCTTGCGAAGACATTGATACCGGATCTCCGCGGTTGCCATGTTAGGACACTATATGACTCAGAAATCCAGAGCTCATATCTTTCTGTCTCAACACACTCTTCTTCTCTGGGCATTCAACTACGGCCCCATGTCAACGAGACCTTCGATTCGTGGCTAGCAGCACTGCTCTGCTGGCAACCCATACGTCCAAAGGGGGTACGCGATAAGATGACCAAACCGCAAAGCGTGACAATCGGCGAACGGCGTTTCACGGACCGTCGAAGGAACTCTGAGAGCACAGTGCAAAAGGATGCTGCAATTATTAAAGTTGGAAAAATGATGCTCTGGGATAAACCTAGCGCCGCTGGTGTGCATCTCCCCACGTCTGCAGCGAGAGTATCAGCGTTCAAGCAGCAGAGAGCGTTATCGCCTTCATGGCGAAGGGTGAGCTGCTCTTTACAAGAAAACGGCCATGTCAAGATCTTTCCAGAGTCGGATATCACTCCTATACATTTTATCCAGCTATTCCAGCTCTCTCGATGTGCTATTCAGCAATTAGACCCTTCCGTTCTCGAAGACGAGTTCTGCATTGCTATCTACCCACAGTACACCGCCCATTCCGGTACAGAAGTCACCACACGACCGATATACCTGTCTTTCGAGTCTCGAATTCTCTTTGAAGTTTGGTTTGTATTATTTCGAGCCTTTACTATTCCAGAATTATATGGCCCCGAGCAGTTCCCAGCAAACGAAGACCCTCGAAGTCAAGCCTCACCCACATCCCATCCAGCTATTTTAACTGACATGTTCCGCATTGAACGACTGTTATCAGTGAGAGTGATCGAGGCGAAGATGACCGCACCTCTTAAAGACGACAGTGATACTCCGAAAAATAAAAAAATCATCAAAACCCAAGCAACAACAGGAAAAACTCAGCAGAATAATCGGGCTGCTGGAGAGTATTATGCTGAGGTATTACTGGATGGGGAGATAAGGGCAAAAACCGCCATCAAGACTGCCACATCAACGCCGTTTTGGAGAGAAGACTTCAGCTTCCACGATCTGCCACCTGTGCTATCCAGCGCATCAGTTATCGTAAAGTCGCTTACCCCTACGCAAAAGGAGTGGACGCTTGTAACCCATGGACCTTATTCGCTCAATCAAGACGAAGCCAGTCCAATGACTGTTGGAGATGTCGAGGTTGCTTCACATGACGTAACGTACGGTAAAATCGACTTGCGCTTGGATGAACTAGATGCGTCAGGTGTAGAGAAGTGGTGGCCTATACTTGATGACAGTGAGCAGCAGGTTGGAGAAATGCTGATGAAGGTTCAGCTCGAGGAAACCGTCGTCCTGATGTCTCAAGACTATGCGGCGATGTCCGAACTACTACATTCCTTCCCTAACGGCCTTACTATACAGCTTGCACAGGTTATACCCGCGGAGCTACGACCGCTATCAGAAACCCTATTGGACATATTCCAAGTGTCAGGCCAAGCTGGTGAGTGGATCATGGCATTAGTCGAGGATGAAATTGATGGTATTCATAAGGAGTCCTCGGCTAGCCGGCTAAGATACACTAGCCGAATCCACTCAAACGACTCCTATGAATCCGGACAGGAAAGGGAAGTCCTAGTGCGTGATCTAGGCAGATCGGCCACTGTCGAGGCAAACTTGCTTTTCAGAGGCAACTCACTTTTAACAAAAGCGTTGGATTTACATATGCGCCGGTTAGGGCAGGAATATCTGGAAGAAACAATAGGCTCAAAGCTTAGAGATATCGATGAGAGCGATCCGGACTGTGAAATTGATCCCAACCGAGTACAGCGACCGGAGGATCTAGAACGGAACTGGAGGAATCTAATCATTCTTACCAGCAGTGTGTGGACGTCAATTGCTAGCTCCCCGTCGCGATGTCCGGCGGAGCTGAGACACATCTTCCGACATATCAGAGCTTGCGCAGAAGACCGTTACGGTGACTTCCTTCGGACAGTTACCTATAGTAGCGTTTCCGGCTTCCTTTTCCTACGCTTCTTTTGCCCGGCGATTTTAAACCCTAAATTATTCGGACTACTCAAAGGTTTGTAATAGCGACCGTTCTCTCAAAAAAAAGC